CTCCAGCGGCTTGTTTCTATATGAAACCTTTGACCCAGAAGGTCGCCACTTATCCATTGCCCAAACGAATACAAGACATTCTTATTCCAAGGTGGAATATTTCCTTTCCTTTGGAGTAAGGACCCTGATTGCGTATTCAACCACTCCACTTGCCTGTTTGAGTACGGCCTCTACTTTAACGTCACTGGCATCCGTTACAACTATGAAGCGCTTACCAATCACCGGCAACCCCAGTCTCAGCTGTTGTTTGGTAATAACCTTTTAGAGTTCATCAAAAGCTTTATGGGCCTCTGGTGTCCATCGGAGGCGATACTCTTTCTTGAACAAAGAGCATAATGGTTCAGTGATATCCGTAAAATGTTTGACGAAGACGCTATAGTATGCGGCACAGCCCAGAAAACGTCTTAATGCTCTTTTCGATATTGGGCGTGTAAACTCCTTTGACTTGAGGATCTTCTCAGGAAGTGGCCTCGTTTCTCCGTTTCCAGACTTGTGCCCAAGTAAAGTCACTGTCGGCTTCCCAATTTGGGGCTTTGACCCATTGATCCGAAGGCCAGATTCTTGAATTCTTTTCAGGACGTTTTCCAAGGAGAATATGTGTTCGGTAGTTGTTTGACCGTAGACAACAATATCGTTACCATACACTGCCACTTTGGGGACACCGTCTGGTAACTTCAGCATGAGTAGGCGGAATGTAAATGGTGCTCATGATAGTCCGAATGACATTTGTTTGAACTGGTATTGTTTATTCCCGACTTTGAATGCCGTTTTCCCTCGATCAGCTTTCTTTATTGAAACTTTCTAATATCCCGATTGTAGATCCAATACCGAGAACACTTTTGCGCTTTGCAGTTAGTCAAACATTTCTGCCATTGTCGGGACTGGGACCGGTTGTGTAAGTCTCAGTGTTTACTTGGAGGAAAAACACACAGATCCGAAATTTAGCAGTGGGCTTTTTGACCAGAAGCGCAGGCGAGTTATATGGAATTCGAGCGTCTTCAGCGACTCCCTTCGTCAACGTTTGTTCAAACTGCCGCCTGACACCGTCCTCTGAGTGTACTGGAATTCAGCCTGAAACGCAGGCTAGAAATTTTCCTGCTATTTTGGAACTTCGTGTTCTACCCAGTTACAGAACTTGTACGGTTATCATGGCTTGTGAACAGATGGGAGTACCGTTGTACCACTGACCGAAATGAGGGCGACACGTTCGTGTGAGTTGCTTCCGTACTCACGGCTGACAACCTCTTCATTTTCGAGCGTAAAAGCAGTAACAAGCTGTTCGTTGTTCAGATCAACCACGGCCCTTAAACTGCATAATATATCTGCTCCCATTATAGCCTGGTCCGTGTCTTTTGATATAACAAATAGATGCTTGATTATCTTGTTTCCAACACGGACTGTCCGTTTGGCTACTCCTTCAACATTCAACTGTTAACCACTGTCTGTTTTCACAGCTGTGTTCCATGTTTCCAGGGACTCATTTGCTTGGAGTCTCGCCAACAATATTGCCGCATTCGTATCGATTAGGCATTGCTCTTTGAGACCACCTAACTTCAACTGGGCCTGGATTTCACCCATCTTATGAGAACCTTGTTTGAGAAAAGAGCGTTTTTTGCGTAAATCGTTTATCGGAAGAACGTTTATTGTATCCTTCTAGGCAAATCCTTCAGTGTCCCGGCTTGCCGCATTGAAAGCACACTCCTGTTCTTTCTTACTCCGCAGTTTGACTCTAGTGCCGCCACTTTTTCTGTCAGATTTTTCAGGGCTTCCGTAGCATCCTCTGGCGGCTGTCTTTTTAGGACTTCGTGAATCTGGAAAGCCGAAACGTCATGATCGTTTAAATGTCTCACGGCTTCGGTCAGCGTGAATCCGGCATACCTTTCACGAAACGCTCCGGGCGGTGGTGGCCCGGTGGTAACGTCGCCAATTATTACCCCGGAGGACGAGTGTTCGAATCCCACCACCACCGCCTGACTTTCCCCATTTGTGTGTTGTATGGCAGCCCTTTGATTGGCCGCTTCCCCCTTCCTGAAAATTGTATCTTTGTATATTCAATAAAAGGAAGTAAAATG